GGCCTAAATCATTCTCACATTCTAATAAGTATAGTTCAAACTTGTGTGTAATTAAAAAATAAAAAAATTTTGTTCTTAAGTCTCTGAAACCAATTGCGTGATATTTAAAATTTTTCTTTTAATAATTAAAAAACACAACATAGAGGGCCTAAATCATTCTCACATTCTAATAAGTATAGAACAAACTTGTGTGTAATTAAAAACTATGGTGAGAAAGCAATTATTACAAAACCCATACATCAAAAATGTTGATAAATTTGATGTCTCACATAGAGATGAAATATGAAAAGGCAACTTAATTCGGCGCCAATAAAATATAAGTACACTTTTTCCAAGAATTTCCAACAAGTGTCAGGATTTACGTTCTTTCGTTTCGCTACTCAAGTGCTGCACGGCAATGAAGTCAAAAATCTATATCCTCATCTACACTCGTAATTCCTCTTTCTTTTTTGTTTTTGAATTCAACGCTATTTGGGATCTTAATGACTTCCTCTTGTTGACTGTTCGAAGACTCTTTCTGAGCAAATGTTAGGTGTGTTGTTGGTATGTGGCGGCGGCGTTTTCAAATAGAATAAATCAAAAAATCGGTGTAGAAGTATGAATGGATAATTGGTGGGGCAGCTGCGTGATGAGGATTTGCTACTACGTTGGTTAGATTTTTTGTTTGTAGTAGTCATATGTTTGCGAGAGGAAATTGAGTTGGCGTAGCAATCAAATTAGATTTAGTGAACAAATCAAAATGTATTTATTTTAACTTGAAGCTCTTGTCGAAGCACCGTGTGTGACCAACCTTGTGCAGATTTTATTTTTTATTGAACATATCCAATTTGTATTCAGATCAGTTTGAAATTGGTTTGTACTTCGTGGAATATTCTCACGCTTCTTCAACAATTTGTTTTACTGTCTTTTGATTGCTCTTACCACAAAAGCTTGCTGTTAATCGTTGTTTTTTTGAAGTTAGGATTAATCTATTGCTTGTTTATGTTTTTCAATTAATTTTAAAAATTTTTTCGAGTTATTATAAGTTTATAAAAATATTAATTTATTTATTATTTTCACTGCAGGATCATCCTAGTCTGCGTGGCACACCGCTAGCAATGTTGGCCGCACAATGCAATAAATTGTCTAGTAAGTCTCCACCGCCTCTTGCCGATGCAGCTGTGGGAAAAGGTTTTCATCCGTGGAAGAAAAGTCCCACTTCACCGTCGAGTAGTGCTGCTGGAGGTCAGCACTCACCTTGTACCATCTCTTCCGCTTCGTCGTCGTCGGGTTCGTCGAGTAGTAATTTGGGTTTGAGCGGCGTCTCATCAGCTGCCTCCTCACGCAGTTTGCCGTCGTCCAGCATCAATACAATGGTCAACATCACCGCTAGGTAAGCGCTTATTGCAAAGTACCAAATACCTTCACACCTTCCTCCTGTTATCCACTTTTCCACCGCATACCACCAATTGAGCAACGATACTTATAACTGATAATAATTTCAGCATTTATCCTTACAGTCGCCCGATTCCTTCATCATGCGCTGCTGTTAGTAATCCCTCAGCTTATGGTAGCGATCTCTACTTTCCGAATACGAGCAGCCCTAGTGGCAGCATGGTCTCTGACAATCACCACATGCATCAGGGTTTGTTGGGCAAAGTGGAGGGCGCTACTTTCGGCTCGGTCTATTCACGTCATCCATATGATTGGCCCTTTAATGCGGTTACCGCATCAGCGCATAAAGCGGCCGAGGCAGCAAGCGTCAACTCCGGTTGGTGGGATATGCACAGCGCTGCTGGCAGTTGGCTAGATATGGGTGGCGCTGGTATGCATTCAACCATGGCCAACTACGCCACAGCCGCCGGCTCAGACTATTCTTCTGCGCTGTCGCATTCGCTTTCAAATACGGCACATCTGTTAGGCTCTGGCCAACATCTACTACAAGACACATACAAAAGTATGTTGCCTGGTCAAGGTGTGGGTGGTTTCTCGCTGCCACATAGTTCACCGTCGGCCGCCTCCACTGCGGCCTCGCCGCAAGCATCAACGCCTTCAACACCATCGCCACGTTCACAGAGACGTTATGCAGGTCGCGCCACATGCGATTGTCCGAATTGTCAGGAAGCTGAGCGCTTGGGTCCAGCTGGCGTGCACCTGCGCAAGAAGAATATACACTCGTGCCACATACCTGGGTGTGGCAAAGTGTACGGCAAGACTTCGCATTTGAAAGCGCATTTGCGTTGGCACACTGGTGAGCGACCGTTCGTTTGTAATTGGCTTTTCTGTGGCAAACGTTTTACACGATCCGATGAACTACAACGTCATCTGCGCACGCACACCGGTGAGAAGCGGTTCGCTTGCCCCATCTGCAACAAACGGTTTATGCGCAGCGATCACCTGGCTAAGCATGTAAAGACACACAACGCTACCGGTCAGGGTGGCAGCATGAAGAAGGGTTCGTCGGAGTCATGCAGCGATTCGGAGGAGCCTGGCAACCAATCTGGCGAATCAAATGGTCTGAGCGGTAGCAACGGACATCAAACTGGCAATGGCAGTCATCCCGGCACGCCCAATTCGCATCAATCAGGCGGCGGTGGAAATACAACACCAACTGGTGGACTATTGACCGGCGGCTTGCATCTGTCATCACCGCACAATATGGCTGGCGGTTCACCAGTAATGCTGCACGCTCAGCAACAACATCATCAACAGCAGCAGCAGCAACAAGCGCAAGCCCAGGCACAGGCACAGGCGCAAGCGCAATTGCAACATCATCAACAACAGCAACATGCGCATGCTCATTTGCATCATCATCACCATCATCATTTGGTTGGCAATTCAGCGCCCAGCCCGGGACTAGATCATCACAGCACTTTGGTGGATATTAAACCACCAATGGTTTGAGGGTCATTGGGACCCTTTCTGTTCACCAATTGAGGTGGCGCTCGGAATGGGTCCAACGGTCTACTAATGCGGCAACTAATGTGTGGAGTGAAGTTGACATAAAAAACGAATGAAGGTCTAATAGGCGAAGGAAGTCATAATCTTTGAAGGGAGGAAGTGGTTACGTGCGGGTTAGGTTGAAACATGTTGGTATACAAACTCTATTGTAAATAATGCTTGTAACAATGTGTTGTTAAAAATATCGTACTATATAGTGAAACAATCAAAAATGCTATACTCTATGTACAACTAAACAAAAAAATAAATATCGAAATGTTTTTCGTTTCAAATATGAAGTCGGAGAAAATTTTGTAAATAGCTGCGAAAGATATTGAGGGACCAATGTTGTAAACATTAAGAATATAAATCGTTTAAATATTTTACAAAAAAAAAAGAAAACGACACCACAAATATTTAAAATAAAAAAAAAAAAAACAAACAAGAAAGAAATCTTTTATCAACAATTAATTAACCTTATTCATTTCGAAAAAAATATCACTTGTTGCAACGGGTAATGCAAGGAAAAAAATTTCTAGTCCAATTGATAGAAAATAAACATTTAAATGTTGCATTAACTCAGCTAGAATGTGCTTTCGAAAACGCTAAGCCTATAATCTATAAGCATATGAGTCACTCATTGTTTGGAATTTGCTTCTGCTCCTTTTGATAAGTTAAGTGTTAAGGAGTGTTAAGGAACTTTTAAATGAAATAAATCAAAATTTAAAGACAAATTATAATTTAGCGATGGGCTTCATTTGCTAAACTAATCATATAAATATCTTGCTTAACCCTATTTATAAAAATAAAAAAAATAAAAACAAAAAACCTAAACAAATAATATAGAAGAAATACACTGCACATAAATACAAATAAAATTTATTATATCCTTAGTGCATAGCTAGTTTTTGAATAAAACTAAAACTAAGAATCTTAAGAAAATAAATTTAATAAATATTGTTGATTTTTAGCTAAAAAACTTAAATATATAAATAACGTAAATTTTATGTAATGACAAAATGCAACTGCAACTAAATAAATATTAAATATATTTAACATGTAAATTTAAAAATTCTAGCTTGCTTAGTTTAAAGACCAAAATACTACTTTCTAATTTTATGGCATTCGAAACTAAAACAAAAATGTTAATTTTATGAAAATGAAATATGGTGAATGTGCAGGCAAATGGTACAGCTTTGTATTATAAAAGCATTCGTCCTTTTTGGCGTTAGATTTTGCATAGAAGGATTCATTAGTCCTACTGTGCCTAACTACGATGCATGAGATGTTTGTAAAATACTTTTAAATATTGCAAAAAATATGATTATGATTATTACAAATAAATGTGCGCATCGACATTTTAAGTAATTACTGTGTTTTTGTATTAGTCTATGAAGGCAATATGGTAAAAAAGGTTTAGTAAATAGGAATGAGGGCGTTCGTTGATACCTAGTCGCTTTGTTTAATGGGATATACTATAAATGGATTATGGGCAGATTTATGCAATATATTTAAAAAAAATTTTTGGACAATCACAGATAACAAATTTAAACAGTTTTTGTTACAACGATCGAGTTCATAGATTTGAGTATATATAACTATATATCGCTCTTCATCTATTGTAGCAGTGCATAGTAGGCATCTAAAAAGACAGCGGTTGATATTATTCTGCATGAAATTTTGGGCATCAGAACGATGTGAAGTGGGAGTTTTTTAATCAAATTGATCGCCTGTTATACACCAGAGACCAGGGATGATTCGAAACGACTGTACAATATCGAATATTAATAATATTAGAGTGTTTCCTTGCCAAAGTGCAGCAAATGGCGTTATTTACCTTTTGCAGAGTGAAAACCAACTGGGTTGTTAGAAGTAAGCTACGAACTGCTGCTCCCATCTACGGTATCTGTATCCTATTTTGAATTTATAATATTTTGGGCAGAAATATAATATTAGTACAATAAGTTGGTTATAATTGGCACAGAGACCTTAGAAAACGAATTGTTTAGAGGACGGCTTCCAAAAAATCGAATTTTATTATACTGTCTTATCCGAGTAATAATTTCGGAGATACAATCTTGAAAACTCGTGCGCTCGAGGCTAGTAGATTGAAATCGTTCTTAATCGATCTAATTCGATTCTACCAAAGTAAAAAATCAGTTGGTAACCACGGTACTTGACAGAAACATTATATTATAGCATTACTGATACTTCATATAAAGGTATTTTGACTTTATACATATGGCTAATCGTTAGACTATTATGGAACTTTCTGAAGTTTTAAACATAACCGGTGAAATCGATTGCATTGTTGTCCGTTCCCACGACAGTCGGGTCTACGAAAACCGGAACGGACCCGGATTTTTATCCGGCCAAGGACTGTCAACTCGGCAGAATTCTGCCGTTACAACAACAACAACATTGCATTGTTGTATTTATTTTTTGCTTACAAAACTACACTGGGATAGATGCGGTGATGTCAACGATAATATAAGAGTGCCAAGTCTACTTTTGTAAGGATTTATGTCACTGTCCAAGTGTGAACCTCTGCAACAAAAGGGTCACATGTAATGATAGGCAGAAACAAATTCGGTAATCAGATCGCGTCCTCAACCCTCAGCGGTTTGATTTATACACCTATTTAAGTATATCTGAGTTACTAGTGGTTAAACACACCACTTAAGTGAAAATGTTAGATATACCTTGAGTATATAAATATAATTAGCTGTATGATATAATTATGTACATTCAAATGTATATTTTTGCTGGCAAGAATGCATTCTTATATTATGTATATTAAATAATTGTAAATTTCGTAATATAAACTAAATAACAGGTTATAGATAAGACAAAAAAGGGGAATCCCTAGAAGCTTTGTTCTTAACAGAAGGTGTCTCATACTAACGGGTGATCCAAGTGCAGGTACTTTTTTGCTACTGATCATACTATTCGTAGCACCATCATTCATTTTGAGTCCCAGCATTCGATTCGATGCCGTTTGCAGAAACTCGGACTGGCTACTTTATGCAGCTTGTGCAAGAACTGAAACAGCTCTATTTTCTCAAGCAACATAGCTTCTTGAGCTCCAAGAAGAACCGACGTTTCCGAGCAAATTGTGATCTCGGCGACATTAGGTTTTAACAAGACGGCGCTACTTCCCACACATCGCATCAATCAATTGATTTATTTAGAGAATATTTAGGCCGGTCGATTGGCTACCAAGATCGGGTGATATCACACAGTAAGACTTTTTTATAGGAGGATATGTATAGTCTATAGTCTATGCGGAAAATCCCGCTTCGATACAGACCTTGAAGCAAAACATCACGCCGTCGACAATTTGGCTCAACGGATGGACCATATGAGTTGTAGCTGATAACTTCAAAAAATAAGTGCCAAAGAATGTTCTTTAGAATGAAAATAAACATTGCCCATTATGTTTGAAGTTTCTGTAATTTTTTTTTTTAATCTAGGGAATCTCGAAATCGACCACCCTTTATATATAATGTGAATATTCGTGCATATCTTTACTTCCTATGCCTTGAATGTGATATTAAGTTTGCTAAGAAGATGTAACACCCACATGGAAAAGTCAGAGACCTTATAAAGTCCAAGTCCAAGCCCGTCCGTTTGTATATACGGGAATTAGTCCTTCAATTTTTGAGATATCGATCTGAAAATTTGAATACGTCTTTTTCTCCAAAAGACACAACATGGAAATTTCAATATCGTACCAATAAGGGATATAGTTGCCATACAAAATTAAAGATCAAACTCAAGTCCTTGTTGGAAGCCTTGTTTATTTCACAGATTTTTGCCCAAGGTACTACTTCAATTGCAAGAAATTACAGCATACAGCTGTTTTTAAAACTGGTCGATCACATTCTAGATACAGATCTTTTAATATCCTTTAATGCAATAAAAATGCACCTGTGTGGGGTATTAAAGTTTTACCGTTCTGATACAAGGTGAGTTCCAAGGTAAACAAGACTTTCTGAATCTACCACCCCCTGATGGCGCCATATATATCGACTAGTGCGTTAGAATCTGCTTTCTTTATCGATTGTCCAGTGAGAATTTCATGACGTTTCATTGATTGGAAGTGAAGGGATTGCGTTTTAAGTATAAGTATTTTTGTGTTATCGGTGCGAAAATGGACTTCGAACAAAGAGGAAGCATTAAATTATGTTTTAAAATTGGTAAAATTTTAACCGAAACGTTTCAATTGATGAAACTAGTTAATGGCGATGATTGTCTATTCCGTAGCAGAGTACACGAATGTTTTCAACGCTTTCAAAGTGGCCGTGAGGACATAAACGACGATCAACATGTAGGCTATCAACATGTAGGCAAATCCGCGATGACCTTAAATTCCATCGAAACTGTGCGTGAATTCATGACAAATCAGTCGAAATCATCATTGAAATTTATAGCAATGGAATTGGGCATCTCCAAAACATCGATTCGATTGCCGTATTCGACGTGATCGGCCCGATTATCGCGAAGATGAAAGTTAGCGTTTGTTGCACGATAATGCGCCGCCGACTAACCATATTCACCTGATATGGCTCCGTACGATTTCTTCCTTTTCGGAAAAATGCATTTGGTGATGAAAGGAAAGCCTTACGCAGACGTAGATACCATTCAAAAGGCATACGGCACCGGCATACTGGCGACTATACCGGCCAACGAGCTAAAACACTTATTCGACATGCTTTTGCACCGCTCAAAAAGCTGTAATGAAGCAGAAGGAGACTATTTCGAAATTGAAACAAATTGATTTTGCCGAAAAAACCATTTGTTCTGTTTTTTTTTTTTAAGTCCTACTTTGGAGCTCACCTTGTATTTTTATATATTTAAAAAAATATAGCTGTGGGAAACTAATGATCAGGTCCAGGTTTAGGTAATACATTTTAGAAAATTTAAGCTTGTATTCTTTTGAAATGTTAAATACTTGAATATAAGATACAGCAATTATAACCACCTATAAGTCTTTTCAATATTTGGACTTTCATTTATTTCGTCAACTTAAATTTTTGGCAATTTTGTTTTAATTGTAAATTGTATTTGTAGATAAAAATGTAATTATTAGTTAAAATATCTTTCATGAGCAGTGCTCATCCCACTAACTTTTTTTCATAGAAAGTTCGTACTGCCACTTAAGAAACTATTTTATATTCAATTATAATAAAAGTGAAATTCTCTAAAATGGCTATTTAAAAAATTTAACTTCTCTATAAAAGCAATTATTTCTAATTGATTCGAACTCATTAGACCGCTGACTATGAGAATAATTTCCAATTAATTTCAATAACTGCTCAATGAACCTTTACACTTCTCGCAGCCAGCCCTCCACGAAAGCAATAAATGCCGCTTAAATGTTGGCCCTGCCCAAAAAGGCAGTTTTGCCCGCCATTAACGACATTTAAATGTGCAAGCATTTGAGTGGGAATGTGGAGTGGAGACGACGGAGAGATAGAAAAAAAATCCCAACCTGCAAAAGTCAATATCACCACCCATTTTCCACCCACTATTACTCAATAAAAATACCGAAATAAATAAATTCGTTATTCCCCTTGCGTCACAACGTCGAACACAAAAACAGTGAAGGGCTGCAGAATCACGTCTAAATATTTGGCAATGTGGGTGGTAAATGAAATTCGTTTACAACAAAAACCACGTAGAACAGTTGGTAACAAGGAAAACAGTAATGAAAACAGTTATGGCTAGACAACAACAAGTTAAACAGGATAACGCAAAATTGCACTTGAAAATGCTATGCCTATAACATACAACGACACAAAGGAACATTTGAGTGGCATGGATGGGGTCATATCCATAAAATATGTTTTG